AATAAAAGAAGATGCTCCATGTCAAACTCTTTAGCTTTACTAACTTCTGATTTATTGAAAGTTCCTAAAAGTTTTAAATCAGAACCAAAACAGGGGTTATATCTAAACCTTATTTCCACTATTTTCAAAAAGACCATAAAAAAGCTGCTCTACAAACTTTTGATTAATTTTTAATCAGTATTAAAATAGATCTTATCTTTAAATCATTTTTTCACTATTTTCAAAAAGACAAAAAAATATAAAAAAAAAAGCTGCTCCCCACCAAACTCTTGCTTTTCACGAACTTTTGATTCGATGAACATCCCTAAACTTTGTAATCAGTGCTAAAATAGGGTTTATCTCTAAACTTTTTTTTTTATATACTTTTCCATCCCTAAACATTAACTTTGGTGCCAAAATCGGTGGAATCTTAAAGCCGCTCCACACTACTTTTAGCTCCAATAAAAAAGAAAAGAAAAAGCTGCTCCCCACTATTTCCAAAAAGACCAGGAAAAAAAAAAAAAAGTTAGCCCTCGGCCCCGCCAAACCTTTTATCTTTGCAAACTTTTGATTTAATGGAGGTTCCTAAACTTCATGATTGCTAAAATAGGGCTTATCTCTAAACCTTATTTCCACTATTTTCAAAAAGACCATAAAAAATCTGCTCTACAAATTTCTGATTAATTTTTAATCAGTATTAAAATAGAGCTTATCTTTAAATATTTTTTCACTATTTTCAAAAAAACAAAAAAAATATAAAAAAAGCTGCTCTCCACCAAACTATTGATTTTTACAAACTTTTGATTTGATGAATGCCCTAAACTTTGCAATCAGTGCTAAAATAGGGTTTATCTCTAAACCTTTTTTTTTTATACTTTTTCATCCCTAAACATTAACTTTGGTGCCAAAATCGGTGGAATCTTAAAGCCGCTCCACACTACTTTTAGCTCCAATATGAAAGAAAAGAAAAAGCTGCTCCCCACTATTTTCAAAAAAACCAGAAAAAAAAAAAAAAAAAAAAAAAAAGTTAGCCCTCGGCCCCGCCAAACTCTTTATCTTTGCAAACTTCTGATTTAATGGAGGTTCCTAAACTTAATGATTGCTAAAATCGGGCTTACTCTAAACCTTATTTCCACTATTTTCAAAAAGACCATAAAAAATCTGCTCCACAAACTTTTGATTAATTCTTAATCACTAGTAAAATAGAGCTTATCTTTAAATCATTTTTTCACTATTTTCAAAAAGACAAAAATATAGAAAAAGCTGCTCCCACCAAACTCTTGATTTTTACAAACTTTTGATTTGATGAATGCCCCTAAGCTTTGCAATTAGAGCTAATATAGGGTTTATCTCTAAACTTCTTTTTTATACTTTTCCATCCCTAAACATTAACTTTGGTGCCGAAATTGGTGGAATCTTAAGGCCGCTCCACACTACTTTTAGCTCCAAAAAAAGAAAAGAAAAAGCTACTCCCCACTATTTTCAAAAAGACCAGAAAAAAAAAAGTTAGCCCTCGGCCCGCCAAACTCTTTATCTTTGCAAACTTTTGATTTAATGGAGGTTCCTAAACTTAATGATTGCTAAAATATGGCTTATCTCTAAACCTTGTTATTTTTCATAAATATGGTTATTTTTCATAAATCGTTAGATTTGATTTTAAAAATAAAAATTTTTATTATATGTTCTTAAGACATAAATTAAAAATATAATAAATTTATTTTTTATAATTAATTTACATAAAA